CAGCACGAGCTGGCAGCAAAGAAAGGCAAGAGCATCCTGTGCTGCACTCACAGGAGTGCAGCTGCTGGACTCAGAGAAGGGATTATCCCCCTCTGCTCCTTGGACCGGAGGTACCGTGCAGCCTCCATCCCTGGGCTTTTAAAGACCCAACTGGATAAACCTGTTTTACTAAAACATGTTGCAGTTTCAAAATTAGCGGACTGTATTTAGAACTTAAAATCAAAACTGCATGCGTGCGTTTAACCGAAAATCAGAAAGAAGTTGGTGCTCGTCAGAAATAGTCTCCCTCTGTTTCACGCTGCAACAAAATCCTATCAATTTACGTTCAATAGAATGAATGTACATGCAGAGAGAAGCTTTCTAATTTTTCCAACAGAATGAAGGGAAGTGACTAAGGTCTCTGCAGCTGCAAACTGTGAGTAATTTTCAGCTTTATAAGACTCTGCTTCAACAAACAGTTAATTACAGGTCTTAATTGATTGTAAGAGTAGTAAAAGGAAGTTAAAAGGATTTAACTTCCAGAAGTTTATTCTGGCATCTTAGTTGTCTTCAGTATTTAGCCGTACACTCCTGAACACACCAGTGTTTTGGTGTCATTTTGGCTCAGAGTTTCTCTGTAACAGCAGGTAGTTGTCACCTCCAACTCCTTCCAGAATAAGTAGTTAAGATGATTTCACAGCAATTATGGAGATTCCATACACAGGGTTTTCTAGAAACAACAGACTTCATAGGCATTGACTGAAAATAATGTTTGGAACTTCACTGAAAATCAAAAGATTAGGTAAAATTAGGAATATGCAATGCAAAAGACTAGAAAAGTTCTGTTCCTTGTATGTAATTCGAATAGGTCAGCGTTAACAGTAATGCTTTATGCCCATGGTGGTGTTCCAAGTATCTCTTACCATGTTATATAATTAATCTCCTCCTTTATTGTGTTACTAACTTTTAGCAATATCCACCTTTAAAATACATCTGGTGAAAGTTTATCATGCAGTTAATAGAGTTTTAGCTGTGATCCTGTGGGAAAAGAGATTCAGATCACGTTTGAAATCAGATGCACGTTTTTCTGAAGGCATTACATTACTGTTAGCAGCTGGAGCTGAGAAGAACACGTAAGATTTCCCTCTGTATTGATAGATGGTTGGATCTTCATTAATGCTTGTTCATAGAAAAATATTTGTAATGAGAATGACAGTGGGGGGAAAAAACTCCAAAAACAATTAATGGTAGAACAACGGCTTTTTATAGTAAGAACACATTTGCTTCATGACATAACAAAATCGGCCCTTCAGATAACTCCTGCCTTAGGTACAGTCACTGACAGCACTGATCTCTTAAAATACAATGTTTACTTTCGAAAACATGACTGGGTAATGTACAATAGAAATTACTAAGCAGAACAGACAGCGTTGCAATCAATCCTTCAACTTGAATGTGGAAGCACCATTACTAGAATAAACATAATAAAAACACTACCAATTTCATATAGCTATGTTTCTTGTCTTCTGTTAGCATTGCTATCATTGCAACATTCATTTTGTTACAGCTACTGTCCAATTTTTGGTTTTCAGTTCACGTTCTTTCACAGCTTTTTTTTAATTTTTTTAAGCAATCTTGCACACAAACACATTCAATTGCAGTCTTCGTTCTACTGGTTTACTTGTTTTATTTTTCTGCACTGGAGAAGACTATTCCTGACCAAATGCCAGTCTGTGTCTAACACCACTTATGTCCAGATGTTTAATATCCCTAAATCCAAAATAATGCTTTTAATCATGCTTCTGGACACTTTATTTATTCTAATACGACAATCCTACAATCCTTCCTGGCCTCAAAAACAAATTCTCTCATTCATAATGGATCTAAATACGCTGGTGTTTTCTGCTTAGCAGGCTTCTCTGATCTGCACACATTTTTCAATGGACGTATAGCCTTTATGTAATTGGTATTTTTGTTTAGCTTCATTTTCCTAACTGGCAAAGACAATTTATTCACAATTGTTTTTTCACAATTAGAGGATTGATATGCAACTCATTTTTAGCCAATGGCTTTGCTTGTGTCAACCATCTCTTTTTTGCATGTATATTTCTTCTCTTCTCCATGCACAAGGTTCTTATCTTTCTATATTCCAAAAAAGGAACTTCTGCTCTTCATCTTGCAGCTGTACATATCCTCAAGGTACCTCAGCCACCTTCAAATTTAACTTTAAAAACCTATATCACACCCAAAAAAAGGTGATGGTCAATGACAACTGCTGTCTATGCTAACGGTTTGTTATGGTGATTCACATTGTCTGTGTGCTTTGCGCTGTCCTGTATATCTGTAATGCCTGGCTTTGCCCTTTCCTGTGTGATGCAAAGCAAATAACATTATTATTGATTACAACAAATTATTGATTTCTTTTTATCTTGTAAGACTTTATGAACATACTATGAAGTGTAGAAAACAGCACTGTACAATGGCACACAGTACTGTGTAGTATCCTGATTTTCACTGATAAAGGTGTGAAAAGGTCCATTCTTGTGTTTAAGAGTCAAACAGGTGGGCCTCCCAGAAATAACAGCAGGAAGAGCCAAAGTATCTTTAGTAAGAATATTTATACTGGCAACAATTAAGTAACTGAAATTGCCTTATTCCATCTGAGTTCTTGAAAAGCTAAAATTATTAGATAACGAACAATATTTAATGGATTTAAGAAAATCTTTTCTCACAAAAAGTTAAAAATTCCCAGCAGATGATAAATCTTTGGCTTCTGAGATGCTGTCCACAGAAAGGACAAAAATCTCCCCACTAGAAAACAGGTGCAAGCTGAGGAGAGGTGAGGAAAATGTCAGCTGCAGCTTGCCCAAAACATCAGGCAGAGAATCATTAAGGTTGGAAAAGATCATCCAGTCCTACCAGGCGCTGCTGGGAAAGCGTTAATGCTGTAACTCTCATCAGAATAGCTCCTACGCTAGTAAGGAGCAACCTAACTAAACCAGGAGGTTTTAAAAGAACGCATCAGCATTTGAAAAAAAGATCACTGTAATGGGGGACACTTAAAGCACTTAACTTCCCCTTGGGAAATCAGAGATTCTTGTTCTTCACTAAATATTTAAACAGAACAGGCAGATGAGGGGGGAAAATAACACCCTGCAAAATCTCCTTCAAGCCACCAGAGGATGAGTACTCCTACATCAAAATAAGTCGTTAAGCTGTAATGTAGCTTAGCTTATTAGTGTATTAGATGCTAGAATTTGAATTGTATTATGTCTAATAAGTGTAAATGAAGCAGACAGCTTGAATCCTTGCTGAATATTTCAATTAGCAATTTGTTTGTGGAGGGCTGACTAATATTATTTAAACTATGTGCATTGGAACATTAAAATGCATAAAAAGGCACAGCATCTTAGAAAAATCATTAGATAATTAGCTAAGCATAATATTTTCTGCTGTATAGTTAAATATTTATTTATGAAAGCGACATTCATAATGCAAACATTGGTTGTATATTCTGTAAAAAGGGGGCCATGCAGGTGATACAGATACACCACGATTTGTCAGATGTGTCGACTAGTTTAGCTTTTCAGTTGTTCTCTTCTGCTAATACTGTACTCCTGTATCAACAAAACTCAGTAGTCTGGTCTAGCTGTCAGTCTTGGAACTATTTTTTCCAACGCTTACTTAGTATATGGCCTTATACTTAATATGCTTAAGACATAGGTTGGAGCTCCATCAGAATTAGTGAACCCTTTGAGGGTACAAAGAACAAAGAAGAGAGGCTCAGATGTCCTGCCCTTTACAAAGGTCATCCAGGGGAAGAGCTTGAGCCAAGAGAAAGAGATGAGGTTAGAGAGTAGAACACCTTTCCAGCTTGCGCTGCTGGTTTGCTCTATGAGATGCTCAGAGAACACTATGAAAGTTGCTGTTAACAACTATTTTTGAAAGGCTGTGTGGGAGGGTGAAGTCCTGGGAGACTGAGAAAGGGCCAACGTTTTTTGACTGAACAGGAGGACACAGAATTACAGGGCAGATGCTTTAAAATCCAATGCTACAGAATTACAGGCTGCGTGTAGCAGCCATTTCAGAGCACTGAGAAGGTGATGAGGAGCAGCCTCTGCAGACTTCTCAGGAACAAATCATGTCAAACCACGTTATTTTCATGTAGAACAAGGCAGTCGATTTTGTGGATGGAATGGAACAAACAATTGCTGTAACTTGGCACGGCTGTGGCCTTTGGCATCAATTACCATCACACTGCTGGAACAAGCTTAGCAGATCAGGATTTCCTTTTTCTTACTGTGCAAGATGATAGCAAAAATTGTTTGGAAAAAATACTTAAAAACAATCAGTAGTGGTTCAGTTCCAAATTGGAAGAATGTCTTCCAGTTCCTTTTTTTCCCTTTTGTTTCTGGGGTATGACAGTGATCACTAAGGAAGATGAGTTGTGCTGGTAAGTACAGCAGTTTTCCTGAGCCAACAAACAAGGAGCTCCAATAAACATTGTTAGAAAAAAGTAACCTTAAGGAGGAGATAGCCGTAATATAAAGAAGCAACTTAATTCGAGTGCACCTATTGCCTCGCTTTATTTATTTGTATCACCGCAGTGCCTGCAGGTGAACACAGCACCGACCCGCCGTCATCTGGGACCGACGGGAGCCCGATGGGCTCCATCTGAACGGCCCAGTGAGTTCGGAGCTAGGCGAGCGGAGCCAGCAGGGGGAGCCGGCGTGGCACAGATCTGCGGCTGAAAGGTACCCGGAGTAACCCAGGCAGCAAGGCGGCTCCTCAGGTAACCGAGCAGCAACGAGAGTTCACCTCTGCTTGGCTGCAGGCATTCAGGCGGCGCCGGCTCCATCGGCGCTGCCCGTCATTTCTGGCACTGATGCGCCTTCAGCCGTTACTCGTGCGAGAGGTGCTGGGCTTTACACAGGCTGTGCCCCAGTGCTGCCGCCAACGTTAGCTGCTACGGGTTTTCATACTTCTGCCGAAGCAGCTGCCCGGAAGGTCGGGAAATGCAGCTAACCTTCACGCTGCCCGTTATCTGCTTCATGGAGAAAAAGTAGAGGTTCACTTTCCAAAGCTTTTTATTTCCCCGTTCTTAATTTTTAAACCCCGTGGATTAATGCTAACTTCCTCTCCTTCGGCCTTTACCTAGCTCTAGTAGCGGCAGATGACACGTTTGAGCGAAGCAACAACCAAAAAGCGAACGCGAAGTTCTGCACCAGGATTTGATTTACAAGGGCGTGCGCTGAACCCAGGGCCGCCCTCCCCCCCC